TCAAAAATATACATACAGCAACTTGAACAATCAGTTTTGGTTACGTAGACAGTTCATCCGTTTTTCTTAGTGGCACGGCCTTTTATCTTCTTCTTAGTAATTAATTACAATTACTACAGCTGCTGGCTTCTCTAAACCAATAAGGCCCATTTAAGTCGCTCATTAGAGCCACAAACACTGCAGTGAGAAAGTCTGAGGATCTTAGCACAGATCTGAAAAAGCAGAGCATTGGCTTGAACAAGTCAGGAAAGTCACTTGGAATCAGGAATGAAACACAAGTTGTCACCAGTCACTAAGAGACAGTTGGTCAGGATGGTCAAGAGTGAACCAAGAATCACCATAAAGCAGGTCTGTAATGAATTACAAGCTGCTGGAACACAGCTGACAGTTTCTACAGTCAAGTGTGTTTTATATCACCGTAGGCTGAGAGGCTGCTGTGCAAGATGGAAGCCCTTCCTCTAGAAGTGGCACCTTACGGCTAATGTTTACTGCTGATCACATGGAAAAAGAAATAGTCTGCTGTAGAAAAGTTCTGTGGTTAGATAAAACAAAAAAACCTACTGGGCCACAAGGACTAAAAATATGTTTGGAGGCTTTTAACCCCAAGAACACCAAACCTACCGTTAAGCATGGTGGTAGTAGTATCATGCTGGTATTATGGTCGTTTTGCTGTTGGGGAACTAGTGCTTTACAAAATATAAATGGAATAATGAAGAAGGAAGACTGCCTTCACATTCTTCAGGAAAACATAAAATCGTCAGCCAGAAGGTTTGGTCTCACATGCTGTTGGGTGTTCCAGCAAGACATTGACCCAAAATACAATTAAAAAATGGTAAAGAAATGGTTAATTCTGACTAGAAATAAGGTTTTAGCCTCTGGCCTGCCCAAAGTCCTGATGAAAAGGCCGCCAAGAGCATGTGGACTGTGCTGAAAAAAACAAGTCTGGGGTCAGAAAACCTACAAATTTAGTTGAACTTCACCAGTTCTTTGAAAAGGAGTTGTTGAAGATAGAACCAAACGCTTCCCAGCAGCTTGTGGATGGCGACCAAAAGTACCTTATTGAGGTGAAAATGGGCAAGGGACATTTAACTAAATATTAGCACTGCTGTATGTACATTTATGACTTAGCAGATTTGATAATATTTCCAGAAGACCTCTGATAAATTTACAAAAGAACCAAAATGCATGATTGTTTTTGTGACAAATGTATGTTTCGATCATTGCATCACACACAAAAAAAAATCAAAATCAAGAGTTGTTGCATTTATTGGAAACTCAAACGTTCATTCACAATTTTACTTTGTACTCTGAATATAGAAGGATTTGCAGTGCATAATTCATTTAGTGTTCATTTCCAATGCTAAATGCAGCCAAGAAAAGATTAACTGTGATCTTCCATCTATACTGTATTATCTAGGACTATAATTATATACAATGATTTTTAACCGTCCAGGTGTTTTTCAGGTTCTTCTACTTCTCGGCTGCTTGAGCAGGATGAGCAGCGAGCCACAATTCTTTCAACACGGCTCTACAAGATGTAATTATGTACACTGAAAGTGGGATGTTATTTCGCTACTACTGAATTCTTTTCAATAAAAAACAGGAGCCTATCTGCTTGTAACAGTGCTGGCAGGGCAAGCTACTGTTAGCAAGTTTGTGCTGTAATAGCAGAGTGCATACACCCTAATTTCACATTTTATTACCTGGCTAAGAAACTGGTAATACTGACTTTAAAATGTCATTGAAAGTGACTTAGATTTGTACGGCAGCTTGCGGTGGTCTCTCTACTTTCATCCGTCTGGCATTTTTCTTTCAGCGGAATGATGGATGGTACTGTTTGGTTAGTGTGCACCAGTTTTCACAGTGCATTGTGGGACTCTGAGACTGCAGGATATCAGCTTTAACTATTCATCTGACAGCACTGCAGAGTGGTGAACTCACTATGTGCTGCACTGTATAACAATTAGTGGATCATTTTGGAGACCCAGGGGAGTGCAGTGTTGGGTTTGACACAGATTGGATGGGTGGTGGCCATTTTTGTTTTGTTTTTTTTGACTCCTGTGGGTGGAACCCCTGTTGCTAGGCAACACCATCAAAGACAGATGTACAATGTCATTCTGACAACAGACACTGCACTCGTAAAAAAAATACAATGATAAAGGCTTCAAGTTTCTCCACCTGCTCAGGTAAACTGAAAGGCTCCCCGTTCCCGAGCAGCAGCCATTTCCCACAGTGCTAGTCAGCGGGCTGCTGATTATACTGCATCTTCTGGGGCTACAAAACACTCGTCAGTGACAAGCAGGGTGTAGATCGAGCCCTGTGGGTGGTCAGTAAACTATCTGCTGGTGAGAGTTGTGTGGTAAAAGCTAACATTGACCCAAGCAACCACATAATTTGCCAAGCCATCCCTAACCATGCCCCTCTCATTCATGTGTTTCCAAGAAACCCAGGAGGTATTGCATGTTGTAGGTGTAATGATGGGCATGTGTGTAATTACAGCATTCTTTGATATGGCAGCATGAGTGGTTATGTTGCACACACGCTGACCTGGCACTTCCTCAGAGCTTCAGTTTCTGCCACGTCTGTAGACTTTAATCCTGCATCAGAATTGTGCAGTTTGTTGTATAATTTGAAAGAATAATGCAGTACCGATACTGACATTATAGTAATGTTGTTAAGCTTCCTTGCTTGGAAGCACTGGCACTTTATCTTGTTCGTAACTAAAAATAAGTATTCAAAAGGGAGACTGTTTTAATGAGACGTGATTCAAAGCAGCACAGCTCAATATTGCATTAACTGCCTCTGAGGCCTGGGACTCAAATTTATTATTCAGAAGGGGATTTTGGTTGTCATAAGAAAAGAAAAAAAAACACTGATGGAAGAAGTGCTCAGAACTTTCACTTAAGTAAAAAGAGCAGTGCCACAATTTAAACATGCTCAACTACGAACAAAAGCTATTCTATAGTCCAAATGTCACTCATGTGCAATTACGCGAGAATTATCGCAACATACACTTAAAGTCTAAAAACAAATGTATACTTTGCACACCAAAATGGGCTCTGTTGTACTACTACTGCCATGTTATACTGTTGGAGTAATCTTACTGCTGCATTAACATGGAAGCAACGTTTAAGTGTTGTGTCTGACTGAGATCGAGCTAATTTTATACATGCATTCAGTATAATCTGCTATATTTTTAAAGTTCTTACATGCTGCAATTGTGCTGAAATATTGTAGTCAAAGTAAAGAGTAAAATAAAATAATCATGCAAGTACCTCATAACTGTACCTAAGTAGAGATCTTGAGTAAATGTACTTAGTTACTTTATGTCACTGGGAGAATTGGGACAAAACCACAATTATAAAAGTTTACATGTCCAGATGGAGACATGATATGAGCAGTATAAAAAATACAAATAAACACTTGTCCTGTCATTGTATGTAAACTCTAAAGTTGAGCAGCTGTGAATGTGCTTGTTCTTTATACTTGTTGGAACTACAAATCTTCGCCCACAGCTGTGTGATGGATTGTTATGAGAAGGCCCCCATATTGCATGAAAGTGGGTCAGTACCGCAGACACATAGGGTGGCACAACAGGGGCATACCGCTTTTCCCCCCAGTTTTTAAGTGTGCAATCAGCAATTTGTAGTGGAAAACAAAACGTGGACTACACATGCCTAACAGGTAAGCTATTTAAATTAGCATTCAAACAGATCGTCATCGTATATATGTATATATATGTTGTTGTTTTTTTTTAAACTACCTGCCTGTTTTTTGGCTAATGTTCATTCGTTTTGAACCATACTTTGTCTTTTTTTCCCCCTCTCTACTTATTTCATGTCTTTAGTTGACACAGGACATGCTGTGACTCAAACGCCGCATTCAGGTGCGCCTCGTAAACCCACTTATCTTATTGAAATAAAACAACAACAATAAAAAAAACCCTAAACTTTAAAAATATGGACCGTGCCTAGTTTTCATACATCTTGCTTGTACTGCTAATTCCATACGCAGACACACTGAAAAAGTGGGCGTACATCAAATTAAAAACCCGGTGTGGCGAACTGAACCAGCAGCACTTGAACGCAGCACAAAGCAGTGCACGACAAGGGGGAGCGGGAGCGAGAGAGAGAGAGGGGTGGGTGTGACGTCATGGCACGGTGCCCCGTCCATGTTTGGCGGAGGAGAAGTTTGTCGACCAACTCTAGACACCGTAGGTGAGGCGAACAAGTAGGGCGAAGACGATGAAAGTGTGTCTGTTTTAGTTCGCCGCGGGGCCCGTCACATCAGCGTAACGTTATTAATCGTTTTATTCAGGCTAGCCAATGTCATTATCAGGTTATAGCGCTGCCCAAAGAAAGAAAAAAAAAAGCAACCAGAGCGAGCCACTCTGAATTAACGGCTAATTACTGGTGTCGTAGGAGAAGGGGGGTCCGGTGCGCTTATTTTTTTTTTATTTTTTTATTTTTTTTTAGCTTGAAGGATATCAATAAATTCTTGTCTCGAAATTTTTTAAAAAAAATTTCGCCCGGTGGTCTCGTATGAACCGCGTCGAGGCAGCGGCGAGGGGTCGGGGGCTCCGCCAGCAGCAGCAGCAGCAGCAGCAGAGCCGGGCTTCAGGATGAGGATGCCGCGGGGAGGACGCCTGTTCCTGGCGACGTGCCTCGGCTCGCTCTTCGTGCTCGTGCTGTACTTCCAGAGCATCACCAAACCAGGTAAGAGCCTGTCAGAAACAAGCTGTTACACTCACCGTGCTGTGTTATTCTAACGATTCAGTGTGTGGATATGACAGAAAGAGTGCTTTAGACACAATGCAAGGACCAATTAGGTGATTGAAACCACAATGTGTTGTTTGGTGTTGTGAGGAATTGGTGTTCTTCTTATTAAATGCTTGTTAAAATGGCATTGATAGTTAGGAATATTACAGTGTATAGGTGTTACATTATGTTGGCTAAAGTAGAAAAAAAAAGATGGAAAAACTGATGGTCTTGTAATATAACTTTCAGTATTGATTGTGTGCTTCATATAGACACAATTAGCGACTATTGCACACCTGTGAGTGTGTGTTAGTGTGCATGTGCCAAACAGATGGCATCATGAAAAGTGAATGAAGCGGAGTATGAATAAGCTCACTGTGAACGGTGGAATGTTTTCAGAGCCCCCCTTCCAGAGACCCCCCACATTCCTGGGCAGGAACCCTCCTCTCCTCCTCTTACCTCTCCTCTCCCTTTGTTTCCTGAGCTGTGAGCCCACTCCGGACACTAAAAGACAGATCGCCCCCCCACTCCCCATGGGATTTCCAGGGCGAGGAGTCAGGGAGAAAGACAAGTTAGAGATGATTGATTTGCGCTCGGTACATGCTGAAGCAGAATGGCATACAGGCACAGGGGAGAGTTATTTGATCCAAAAGAGCTGTTCTCGACGTGGCCGGCCAAGAAGGGAGAAGACGAGGGCAGAAGGCAGTTTCTGGCGATACTCTGAGGCAGCTTCATCAATCAATGTGGATTTCTGATGAGAAGTGTCGAGGTTAATTGTGCACAGCAGACTCTGTTTTGCAACTTTGGTGAGACACATGACAGTGCGCATTCCAGTTGTTGCGCTTCATGGGTCAAAATCTAAAATATGCCGATTAAGAAATAGTTAACAATTAAAAACCCCATTAGGAACGGTATCATGTAACAGAAATGATGCACCGCAGCGGAATAATCCTCAGAACACTCACCGTTCTGGAAAAGCCGTAAATCACCTTTTTTTATAGCTGTCAGTGGCAGACACACAAACCACATGTTGCCAAGCCTACAAGCAGCACACTTCAGCACTCTCATTGACCCCCCCCTTCCACCGACTAGCCGTGTGTACCCGTACTGCCTGATCCGTTTAGGCTTGTCTGCTTTAGAGCCCCACCAGTGGCGATGCAAGCCACATGAAAGCCAGTTGGAGCCACATTAGAGAGGACTAATTCACAGGATGTCAACAAAGCGCAGGGTTTCCTTAATTGCTGTGTATCTAGCCAGTGTAGGTTTGAAAACCAACACCGAAGTCTTGTTGCGCTCTGCGTTCAGTTCCCATTTCTTTTTGTTTCTCACTTCTGCTCTGTTTTGATTTGACTGAAACACAGTAAAGTGAAACAGAAGGAGACAGTCGTTAGAATACTATTTTGCAGTGTGGAGTCATATTTTATGCCATGATTTATACCCTATTTCTGCACTTTTGATACTTTTCAACCTAGTTTCACGTCTTATTTACCGTAATTTTCGGACCATTAAGCACACCTGAATATATAAGCCACACCCATGAACTTAAAAAAAGAAAAAAAAAGTTGTACATATATAGGCCGCACTTATCCATAAGCCGCAGGTGTCCGCATTGTACCATGAGATATTCACACAGAAAATTTTTTTAAACTCTTAATTAAATACATACCGGTATCATACACAAACACCGTAAATGCTTTTTTCCGAACAGTGCCTGTAGCACGGCTGGTTAAGAAAATAACAACTACATCAGCCTACCAGGAAAAGCCATTGATCGCTATCTTCATCTTCCTCCTGCACTAAAACCACTAAAGTCGTCTTCTTCAGTGTCAGAATTGAACAGCCTCAGAATTACTTCGTCACACACTTCCTCAGTCTCTCTTTTGTTGTCGCTCTCAATTTCGTCTTGAGGCAAATTCGTAAAAATCCATAAATTAGCCACATCATTGTTTAAGCTGCAGTGTTCAAAGCGTGTGAAAAAAGTAGCAGCTTATAGTCCGGAAATTACGGTACTCAGGATCATATTTTTACATGTTTGAGATCCAGATCAGTGTCTTCCAAACACTATATATCCTGTGTAAGGATAGACACTAGGATGGACGTTCAAGAGCAATGGCTCCCGTCTGTAGGTACTTAAAGAAAAAAATTGAATTTGAGACCTCACACCAACACCTGATATTCACCACTAATGCTGTAGACCAGTCAGAGGATGGCTGCTGTTTCACTCCATTTGGGTCCAGTGGAATTATTTTGACCACATTGGGCTGTCAAACCCCAAACTGGTTAGTTATTTATCATAAATCACGAATACTGTACATCTAACTAAAACCCAAGGAGCTTTTATCTGTGAGTGTGTGGTGGGCTCTCTGTCCTTCACAAATCTTGGCAACCGATCCAATTCAAACTTGGTGGGTGGTCGGGGGAAGACCAGAGAAAACTGCAATGTCGAATTTGAAGGTGTTTGGTAGCGTGGTGGCCATTTTGGAGCGTTTTGCACCAGGAGCATGCTAGTGATGTGCATCCATGTTGAACGTAAAAATTGGCCGGTGTTCTATTGCAATTTTTGCACGAGGTGTGTGCAGCACTTTAACACAGGAATCGGTCATTAAGTGTCTATTTCGACGAAGAAAACAAACAACTACCAAACAGGACTTCTGATTCAGTGTCTTGATCACATTGTTGGCTACATTTGCCATCATGGCTGACAGTACTGTACGACTACTGCATGCTATAAATGTCAACTTACTCATGATGCACAAACTTGGTTACAAACTTTAGGACTGTGGTGATCTGGACTAGTAGATTTGTTATAAGAGGTGAGTCTCTCCGGTTGTGTGAGAAAAACAGCGATGTGTTGCTGCAGTGGCAGAACAGTGTTGCCGTAAGGGTAGTAAAGTTATTTCAGTCAGCTGTGATGTGCTCCGATAAGCAGAACAGCTACTGGAAGTGCATGTGGTGTGTTCACTGTCACAGAAGAGAAATAAAGACTATTTTACTACAGTGTGCTCCCGCGCTATCTACCAAAGATAAACGTTACTGTAGTGATGGTGGCAGATATTTTCTGGTTTATATTTATAGTTAGTTTAGTGTAACGATAGCAGAATCTAAACCATGAGGCGCAACATTTACCAAATGAACCTAGTTGCTCGTCGACAGTTACACAATTTGTGTTGTTTACCTGCTAATCAAACAGCTAACGAGGTTAACTGACAAGAATAGTAGGCTCAAGATTTATTAAGACACATGCATTAGGCGGCAGGAAGACATTTAGACATGTAGGCATTCAGCTCGCATGACTAATGGCACAGATGAATAGTGGGACATACACAGTGGGTGTTTGGCGTACACAGATTACATTAGGTTGGAAACTTAAGCTTAATGTGACTTTAGAAGTAAGGTGCTGCAGCAGAAATGGACACTTAGTTCTGGTGACAAGCAGCCTTTGTCTGTAGCAGATGAAAAATGGTTCCCAGTAATGCTGCATGATTGTTCATGCAGAAAATGGCAAACTTTAGGAAAAAAAAAATGGCACTGATAGTATTAGGTAAGTGTTTGGTGTTACATCACTGCTGGTTTGGTAACTCTTCAGCTTTATGGAGTTTTGTAACACTACGTCTCTGCACTGCTTTCGCACTGTTCCCATGTTCTTCTTGGCTCTTCTGAAAAGTTCTCTGCTCATTGCATTGTCCTAATTCTGCTCGCGCTTTCCAGCAGAACAATAGTGCTCGGTTAGTATTCCTGCACAGCAATACAGTCTCGGGAAAGTACTGTAGTTCAACAGAGGCATTGTAGTTATATAGGTCACTTTAAAATACCCACTTGTTTTTCAGAAATTATTTTTGGAATACATTGCAATTAACTCTACATAGCAATGTATATGAAGTCTCACTCATGCCGTCGCCACCACACATCCACTTTCCCTACAGCACAGGATCTGCTAATTAAGCCCCCAGTTCAATAGTGGACAGGAAGAGCATTGCATATTATTGTTATGCTTCCATTGTCTGACTTCCTGTGGCAACACCCTGAGTTTGGTGATCAGGAAAGAAATAGTTCTGAACTCATTAGTTAGGCCGTGTCAGATGTATTGCTCAGATTCTTAGATTTAGTTACACCAACATGCACAAGGTTTAGAACAATGGTTTGATAAAAAATTAATGACCTGTCCAAACTTATTAATCATCACGTGAAGGTTGGTGAATGTGCTTGGGTCCACAGACAACTTGAGACCATATGTACCATTATGCGGTGCTATGATAAGATAATTTTTGCAGTTTTATTTGTTGAATTTTGAGGAATAACAGCTAGGACTATGTCTATGTTAATATGTGTAAATACGTGAATATCAGATTTGATTTGGTTATATTAAATTAACTATGTTTGGATTTTGAACTGCCACCTAAAACAAGACATTTGAAAATGTCTCCTTTTACTTTTGGGAAATGTGGTGGACAGACTTCACTGTTTTATGACATTTCATAGTGTAGATTGACCCAGACAACAAGATGAATCAGTTAAGAAAACAACTGTTGCTCTATTGGATTGATGCAAGAGGTGTTTTGTTTGGTTTGGGTTTTGGAGGGATCAGTCAGCCTCTCAGCAGGATCTGTTCATGGATCGATTTAAGGTCGTTAAAACACATCATTGCACTCTGGGCTGTTGGAGGAGCCGCAGCTGATGGGTAAACTCAGAAACACTGGACCCAGGGAGCTTGTTTCTATTAAACTTTTACAGCTTTTTTGAAATATTTTTTTTTTTTATCAATGATAAATGAATTCCATCAGCAACAATGTGGCCAACAAAAGACTTGCTGATTGATTCCAGAAGTGTGTTCCCATCACTACTTAATTGTTTGATTTCCTCTAAAAAAAAACATATCCTGCCTCAAGCCAGTGAGAAAACATCTTTGACATACTGATGAAATTTCCCCAACATGGGCTATTTCCAGTCAGTCTCTCTCA